TCAGTCATTTCCCATTTTGTATGTGTGCAACTGATTGTTCCTTCCTAAGTGGAGGACTTTGCCCTAGTTCTTATTGAATGTCATTCTATTTACTTCAGACCATTTCTCCAGTTTGTCCAGATCATTTTGAATTTTAATCCTATGCTCCAAAGCACTTGCAACCTCTTCCCACTTGGTATCATCCACAAACTTTATAAGTGTACTCTCTATACCATTATCTAAACAACTGATGAAGATACTGAACAGAACTGGACCCAAAACGATCCTTGGGGGACCCCCACTCGATATGCCCTTCCAGTTTGACTGTGAACCATTGATAACTACTCTTTAGGAATGGTTTTCCAACCAGTTATGCACGCACCTTATAGTAGCTCCATCTAGGCTGTATTTCCCTAGTTTGTTTATGAGAAGGTCATGTGAGACAATATCAAAAGCCTTATTAAAGGCAAGATATACCACATCTACCATTTTCCTCCATCCACAAGTTTTGTTACCCTATCAAAGAAAGCTATTAGGTTGATTTGACACGATTTGTTCTTGACAAATCCATGCTGATTGTTACTTATCACCTCATTATCTTCGAGGTGTTTGCAAATTAATTGCTTAATTATTTGCTCCATTATCATTCTGGTACTGAAGTTAAGCTGATTTGTCTGTACTTCTCTGGGTTGTCCTTATATTTCCCTTTTTATAGATTGGCACTATATTTGCTCTTTTCCAGTCTTCTGGAATTTCTCCCATGAGTTTTCAAAGATAATTGCTAATGCCTCTGATATTTCCTCAGTCAGCTCCTTGAGTATTCTAGGATGTATTTCATCAGGCCCTGGCAACTTGAAGACAATCTAATTTGTCTAAATACACCTCTACCCCGATATAATGCGACCCGATATAACGCGGGTTCGCATATAATGCAGTACAAAGCTCTGACACGCTGCTCTGAGCAACATGTTAAGGGGGCTGGGCCCGGGCTGAGGGGTTGGATAAGGGGCAGAGGGTCTTGGGGTTGGTCAGGGGCTCCCCCTTGGGTGTGGGAGGCAGGAGCTGTGGGGGGGGCACTTTTGGGGGCCCTACAGTCCCAGAGTGTCCCAGAGGATTAGCGAGGGGCCACGAGCAGCCTGCTCCGCTTCCCTAGCCCCGGCCGTGTCACTCGGAGGAGGGGGCTTGGGGGAAGGGATCCCCCCACACTCACTGGCAGCAGCAGAAGCAGAGCAACCTGGCCCCAGCCCGCTCCACTCTGCCAGCTCCCAGCCACAGTACTCCGCTTCCCACTGCAGGTGAGTGTGGGACCTTGCCCCAACCACCCCACTCCCTCCCCCAGCGACACAGCTGGGGCTAGGGCAAGGAAAGCAGAGCAGGTTGGGGCCGCGTCGCTCTGCTTCCCACCACAAGTGAGTGCAGAGGGTGTCCTTTCCCCAACCTCCCCGCATTCACCGGTCGCGGGAAGCGGAGCAGCCCGGCCTCAGCCCGGTCTGCTCCACTCTACCAGCTCCCAGCCACGGCACTGCGCTTCCCACCACCGGTGAGTACAGGGGGCATCCATCCCCCAACCTCCCCGCACTCACCGACAGCGAGAAGTGGAGCACGGTGGCTGGGGCAGTGTTGTTCCACTTCCTGCCGCTGCTGGTGAGTGCCTGTCGGGGGAGGGGTGTGTGGATAGGGGTGGGGAGCAGTAGGGGACAGGGAGCAGAGGGGTTGGGTAGGGGACTGCGTTATATCGGGGTAGAGGTGTAATGTTTATCTTATTCTTTCCCTATTTTAGCCTCAGACCATACCTCATTTTCACTGGCATTCACTATGTTAGACATCCAGTTGACACTAAATTCATATGTGTCCGTAAATCTGCTTAGGTACCAGACTCTACTATAAAAGGTCTGCATTGGTTTCACACTCTTTGTTCATCATTTCTTTTTCTCTGAAGGGTCTAACAAGGCAGAAGGAGCCACCACCTCTCACTGATGGCCAACATCAAGAGGCAACAGAACAAAAGGAAATGTAGTGAAAAAATCATTCAGAGCAAGAGCATCTGTAAAAGGTAAAATTTTGTGAATACAGAAGCTGCTAGAATTTTTTGTGATTAATAAATGCTCACTGCAATGTTAGCTCTTTCCTGTTCACAAACTGATCTTGATTAACATGAATACATTAATCTATGCAAATACATTTCAGCCTATATGTACTCTGAAACTGTTTGCTCTGACTACTCACAGTGAGAGACGGGTCATCTGAGTCACATGATATGGGGGTTTTTTAGCTGTGAATGGATACATAATTTTTTTAAAAAAATAATAGAACAAATAGCAATAAAGTACTATTGATTTGAGAACATCACAGTTCTATTAAGAGTTTTCAGACAAATCTATTTTATACTAAAACATCTGAAGTTTTCAGGATTTTACAAATATTTTAACAAACACTGGCAGCTGCTTGACCTGTCAAACAAGGAACAAGATGGCCACATGAATAACAGCAGAGCAAACTCACATATATGAACACAAGACTCTTTAGTCACTATCTGTTTTCAACAAATTAATAGTTTTGCATTAAACACATCCAAGATACATGGAGAACACTAAGTGGGGACATCACATACTGCTAACATTCATGTTTAACAACCATTTTCTGAGGTTTTTGTATAAAATTATTGTTTTATTACTCATGAAAATAAGATGCATTTATGTCCTTCATAACAAATTCATTAAATCGGCCAGTTTTTGTAAGAAGTTAGCATTGTTTCGATGTCTATTCTATCCTTTTTCTGCTAAGACTTCCAACAAAGGTGCCAGCTGTGTTGGTGGGTTTGTGATATGGATACTCTTTGAAGCAATCTGAGACCATCTACTCCTTTCGCAGAAATCAAAATATGGTTACATTTCCACACTAGTGAAATACATTTTAAAAAAAGGTTAATATTTATTGTACTTTTCAAGGCTATTAAAAAGTAGGGTAAAATGTACTGCAGATGGTTGGAAAAAAAAATACATGTACACAATAATGCCAAGAAAAAGAAAAGGAAACATTGCTTTTCCTGAATGAACTTGAGGCCTAAAAAGGTGACTACTATTCAAGAGATTTAAACCCTCAGCAAGAAACATGAGAATCCAGTAGAAGAGAGACTTTTTTATTGGAAGGATTTCCCACAAAAGGCAAAGAATACTCCAAAATCCTATTCTAAAAAGCACAAAACAAATCTGTGTGAAATCCATTCACATCCACTACAGCAGCACAATGAAACCCTTAGTGGGCAAGGGCTAGAAGTTGTACGCTTGCACATGTATAGCATTGGAGAAGACCAGGTGGGAATTCACTTGTACAAATACCTAGACCCTCCTGGATCTAGTCTACAAGGGGGTAGCATTAGTTTGGGAGCCCAGGGGGATGTGGATGAAATAAAATTAGTCTTATCAATTTATTGGCTTGGGGCTTGACCCAAAGCCCACTGACGTCAATGGAAATCCATGAATTTCAGTGGGCTTTGTATCAGGCCTTTGGTCTGGCCCTTTATTAACTTTGGCTGAGTCAGCTTCCTACGGACCTTAGAGACACACATCCACATTACATGTAGTGATGGAAATAACTCTGAATGCCCCTGTACCTGATGTATTGAGATTTGGAGTGAAGAGAAATTAATAAGACAAATGGACTGTAACCTTTTTCAGACTTCCTTAGGCTATTTTCATTTTTAATATTACAATTAAATGTAACTCTCTCTTTTCCAGTCCACATTTGATACAATGTACCTTGTAAAGAGCAACTGACACCACATGAAAACCTAAGACATATTCTATACATTAGGAACTCTCTCCTAGTGCCTTTTCTTTTCATTTACTTATTTTATGCATTAATAGGAATATCTGCTTAAAAAAGTGGAAGTTTCAGGGAATTTAGCCACTTGTCATCTATTAGAATCCCCTGCACTGCTTTGAAAACTTCAACCCAGGATCTGTGACCCTTAGCAGTTAGTCTGCTCCTGGTGATAACTGGCTCAACTACGAAATGGCACAACAGAGCCTTTGTTATGTTCTCAGCACATAACACATTGTACACATTTACGATTTACACATTGTAACCTGCCCAAGGATTGCTTCCTCTGCTTTATACAAAGTATTCCCTCCAACATGCAATACAATGTAAGTAGCAGTTACTTTGCCTCCTATCATTACACAGCTTTAAATATTAACACAGGTATTATGAAAGCTTTCTAATTAAATCTAATCACACTGTCAAAGAAGGTTTCTGAATTTTAGAACAAGGCTCTCAAAAATGAAATATCTCTTATGCTGTGCAAGGAAGCAATGCCAGCCAGGAGGAATCAGGAGTCTTTCATGTGGAGTGATTCTGTGCTCTCCAGGGTAAGGAAGCTTCTTCCCCATCTCTGTGAGTAAGATTCTCCTCCCCACAATTGTACTGGCTCCCAGTCCTGTGCTCAGACCACACCTTTCTCAGATGAAGCTAGGCTCCACCCTCACCCACAATCCTGCTGCTACCAGAAGAAAGAAGGATCAGGCCACTAGTATCCATCAGTCAAGGGACCTGAAGCAAATGTCTGGTGGGATTTTTCACCTTGTTCTTCATCTGAAGTCATAATCCTCCATTTGAGGGGATCATTTCCACAGCAGACATTCATGATGTAACAAACAAAATAGTTTAACACCAGCCAGGTAATAAGAAAGAACTAAATCAATTATAAGCAGAATTGCTTTGGAACAGGATGCTTTTAAAAATTTCCCAGGGGGCTAAGGAAGCATTAGCATACCTTTATATTGAATGGGATAAATTCCACCCAGGCTAGCACACTGTGAAACCCCACTGATTTCAGTAAGGTTGTACATGGTGTAAATCAGAGCAGAATTTGACCCTTCATCTCAATCTTATGTCCAGATCTTCACAGATTCTTGAAGAAAACCTAACAGACAAAACTCTGATGTTTATCACTCCCTCGGTCTGTCACTTTCCCAGAACAATTCTGCGGCTCATGCAGGTATTAACTTATCTCAACATACTTTTGAAGGGTAAGGCTCAGGTTGTAGCTGGCTGATTTGATCTTGTTCTGGGCCTCTAAGTGGGTCATGCCATCTGTGTTGACTCCATCAATGGTTACCACAAGGTCCCCCTGGTTCATGTGTGACTGGGCTGCTTTGCTGCCAGGGGTGATCTGTGAGGGAGAAAAGAAAAACAGACTTTATTCTTTGTGTGAATTGGTTTCAGAGAACAAGTCCAGTCCAGAGTTATTATGGGAAGGGTTTATTCCTCACCCTCCTCAATCCCTGCAAAAAATGACACTAATGGAAGCTAGACAAACAGGGTGAAATTCATCTTCTTCAGAGGTCCAACACAAGGTCTTTATTTCACTTAAGCCCTATTTTGGGCTTAAGTGGTTCATATAACTTGTGTTGGCCCCTCTAAACAGGGACAAACTTCACCCTCAATTAAGGGAGAGTAGATCCCCCTGCATTTTCTGTATATATTGAAAATTCTCATTTAACCCAAGATGGATGTTACTCATCAGGTTCAGATAACTGTCAGTTTATTTATAAAAAGTTGTCTAAAGCAATTAAAATATTTTTTAACATCAGCCTGGATTTTGCCCAAGCGAACTACACTGGTTTACACCAGCTGCAGATCTAGTCCATTATAAATACACAGTTAGATTCAAAAGTATTTCTCACTGCTGAAAGACATGTTCTACCATCTCCCTTGCATGGAGAGAGTGCAGGAAGTTCACCTATTGTGTAATAAACATCAGAATTGGATTTGTTTCTACATGTTGCTCGAAAGTGCATTTATTTTCACATCCGAAGTTGCTTTAAATTTTATGGTTATTTATTATTGAGTGCCTACAGGCCCCAATCAGGATCAAGCTCCACTCTGCCTGGTGCAGAACATATTAATAAATTTGTTGTCACTCTTTCCCTTACCACTGAATTTTCCCAAAATAAATTTTATTGGTTTGAAATGGGAGCGGTGGAGCAGTGCCCTTTGGATGAAGGTACACACCCACAAGTGGTCAATTCCATCCATAGTTTAGGAACACTCTTGGGTTCCTCACAGACACTTAGCTCTCCTATAGCAGCATCCACAAATAAAGATTTCTACCATCTTCAGTTGGCTAGGAGATGCCATCTCATCAAGGCAGAAAATATCCTGGCCTCAGTTAGACACACCTTTGTACCTTCCATCTGGACTACAGCAATGTAATATTGCTAGGCATGAGGCCATCAGCCCTTAGGAAACTCCAACTACTACAGAATGCTGCAACACAATTCCTCAGCAACACAGGCTACCAACTGCACATCAAACCTGTCCTCTGCTCTCTACTCTGGCTTCCCATAGACTACTGAATCAAGTTCAAGGTCTTAGAGCCAGCTGTTTAAAGGTAATTAAGTGCCTAAAGATGCAGACCAGTGTACCCAGTGGGAATTTCAAAAGCACCTAGGCACCTGACTCCCATTGATTTCAATGTCAGGCCACCAGGTGCTTTTGAAAATCTCAATAGGCACCTTTCTTCATTTTTAGGAACCTAAATGACTTTAAAAATCTGTTCCTTACTCCCTGTGTTCTAGGTAATCAATGATCTGGGCACAGCATATCTTTAAAAAAAAAATCACCTCGAACTCCAGCATGAAGACTGTGGTTGACAACCTTACACCAGAATAGGGAACATTTTTTAGCTCCTTATCAGAGCTAGCCTTGATGGCATTACAAGAATAGCTCTGTGTACTCTGAATGAAAAAATAATAGCCAAAGATGTATTAAAGCTCCCTTCATGTGATTTAAAGGTTTCATTAATAATATAGATCCATTCCCTCTTGTACTTTTCTGTTTTCACTGAATAGGGGACCCTTTCCCCTCTCACATTCCCAAAATATGTCATCAAATATAATAAGACATAAAATAGAAGGTGGGGAGAATAAATTAGAATGGAAAGGAGATCAAACAAACAGCCAGTTCAATCAGAGTCAAATAATCTAGCAGAACTCCTTTTAAATACCAGATTGAACACCGTGTCTTGAGTGATCCCTTTAACTTCTTTCTTCACTGAAAGGAAAGTACTTTCCAAGCAGTCAGACACCAAGATATGAGCTTGGCTGATAAAGGCTATTAAAAAAACCTCTAGCCATCTGTAAGACACCACTCTCCCTTGCCACAGAAAACGTGCATGCCCTTGTCATAAAAACTGTTAACTGTGCTGTGCTGCTGACACCTCCACACTTCAACCAGGTGACTCCTAGTGATCTGCACACCTGTTTGTGCTTATCAAGAAAAAAGATTCACTGCTGAACATTAAGCCTCTCACTGAAAAAGCTAGCCTAACTGTGGAATTCCTACTCAACACATAAACCTCTCCACCCTGCCCTCCCACCCATCCTATGAACTAAATAAACCTAGGGAACAAGAACTTAAATAGTATGGACAAAAAGAGCTAAACACCTCAATAAAGAGGACTGAAACAGGACTGACGGGCCACATCTTCCTTTCACCCTGCCCCAAATAAAGGCTTACCTTTTTAAATAAGCCCTGGTATAGATGAGGGCTATAACGGTCTTAAAATTAAAGGACCAAATTCTCTGTTAGTGTAAATGGATTAAACACTGTTTATTTCAATGGACCTGCACTCATTTACACAAGCAGAGAATGTCTGACTCACTAACTAACTCAACCCCATCCACATGATAGGCATTCGTAATACTAAAGATTCCTGCTCTGTACAAACCTCTAATTATGACCATCACAGTCATCTGTGAGGCCACAAGCTATAGTAGGACCATATTTTAAAGGTAAGATTGCTCTTTGGGGAAGGGGTCAAAGTTGTGGCCTGTCAGTCTTGACAGCCTCCATTTCATTTGAAAGTTTACCGCATGTTTACAAAAGTGAAGGGATTAGTAGCCATGTCCTGAGCCGAGGATAGCGAGGTCAGGCTCTGTGCAAGATTTCTCCATACAACTCTGCAGTAGACTTTTGTGTTCCAGTCTTGAGGCCCTGCACAGCTTCGCTAATGCACTCTTCACTTGGCCTTCAATATCCCAGTTATTCTAGCCCTTTGACTCTTCTGAGCAGAGTCTGCCAATCATGTTGCATTCTCCCAAGTCATGAGGCAGCAGAGGTAAAACTGCATGATGTTCAGAGAGACTTTTACTTTTTCTAATCAGTTTGTCCCATCCATATATAATCACTGTTCTTTAAATGGACTAAAGTCCATTTAAGGGATTGCACAGCACTTACAGCACTTACTGAATCAAACACCCACTAAACCTATAAATATAAAAATGTAATTCAAACGAATGTATTAGATCTGTAACTCAGAACCAGCATAGCTGCCCCCCACCCCAAAAATGGTTACCTACCTTTCGTAACAGTTGTTCTTCGAAATGTGTTGCACATGTCCATTCTATTTTAGTGTTCATGAGCCCACATGCACGTGGCGCCCTCTTGAGTGCTGCGCTCATGCATCGGTGTATCAGGCGCCACCAGCCCTATGCCCTCTCAGTTCCTTCTTGCTGACAACTCCGACAGAGGGGCAGGAGGGTGGGTAATGGAATGGACACGAGCAACACATCTCGAAGAGCAACAGTTACAAAAGGTAGGTAACTGTTTGTTCTTCTTCAAGTGCTTGCTCATGTTGATTCCATTCTAGGTGACTCACAAGCAGTATCCCTGGAGGTGGGCTCCAAGTTCAGGGCCAAGTGGCTTGCAACACTGTTCTGCCAAAGCCAGCATCGTCTCGGGCTTGCTGGGTAAGAGCATAATGAGACGTAAACTTGTAGACGGACGACCAGGCAGTGGCCCGACAGATTTCTTGGATCGGTACCTGTGCTAGGAAGGCTGCTGATGACACCTGTGCCCTAGTCGAGTGGGCAGTCATGGTCGCTGGTGGAGGCACCTTTGCCAGGTCATAGCAGTAATGGATGCAGGCCATAATCCAATCCTCTGAGCAGACACTGGGTTATTTTTCATCCTGTCCGCCACCGCAACAAACAACTGCGTTGACTTGCGAAATGGCTTAATCCTGTTGATGTAGAAGGAAAGCGCCTTCCTGAAGTCCAGGATGTGCAATCTGTGCTCCTCTTCCGATTTATGAGGCTTCGGAAAGAAAACCAGTAAGTATATGTCACTGGTATAAAACTGTGAAACTACGTTGGGCGGGAAGGCTGGGTATGGCTGCAGCTGGATCTTGCCCTTGTAGAACACCGTATAGGCGGCTCTGAAATAAGTGCCCTGATCTCAGAGACTCTGTGGGCGGCCATTATTGCAACCAGGAAAGAAACTTTCCAGGACAGGAGCATAAGGGAGCAGGAAGCTAGAGGCTCGAAGGGAAGACACATGAGCCACAACAGCACGAGGTTCAGGTCCCAGGGAGGGACGGGATCCCTGATATGTGGATAGAGATATTCCAGACCTTTCAAAATCTGGACCATTGTTGTGAGCAAAGACCAACCTCCCTTGGAGCAGAGATGGAAGGCCAAAATAGCGGCCAAGTGGACTATGATCGACGTCAAGGACAACCCTTGGAGCTTGAGGTGCAGAAGATAGTCCAAGATGACCTGCAGAGAAGCCTGCTTGGCCCAGATACTCTGGTCTAAGGTCCAGCACGTGAACCTCTTCCACTTGGCCAGGTAGGTCACTCTGGTGGAGCGCTTTGTGCTACCCAACAAGACCTGTTGGACACGGGCCTGCCTGGGCCATTCAGCCATGCAGTAGCCAGGCTGTTAAGTCCAATGCCGCCAGGTTCGTGTGTAGAAGGCTGCCATGGTTCTGGGACAGCACATCCTGCCAAAGATGTAACTGCAGGGTATCTCTAGCACTCAACGGTCCGAGATGACCTGTGACCAACCTGAATGGTAGGGACAAAGACAGTCGAGGAAAGAACACGGTGGATCCGGGGAGCTGACTGGGGCATCGCTTTTGAGCGCACCATCAAAATGAGGGCTTCTGGCCCCTGGGATGTTTTGCCAGTCCAGGCTACGTGGGTGAGTGGGAGGAGAAAGAGACATGAGCTTTTGTCGTCGCCGTCCTATCCAGGGGTGAAAGTAGTATAGAATACTTACCGGTCCGGGGCCTCGGGTGGCAGTGACGGGGCCTCGGGCGGAAGGGGTGGAGTTAGGGTCAGCCTCCCCCAGCCAGCCCATCCACACTGCCTGGCCTGCGCTGCCTGGC